ATTGCTGGTTGTATTAAACGGGACAACAAAGGGTGCTATGCCTACATTATGATGAATATTTAGTCCTATAGGTCTTGCTGTATTCAATGTCTCAATCCAATGGGCCTCCCTAGATTGACGGAATTTGGTAGTTTCATCTTCGGGCAAGTCAATTTCTATACGCTCAATTGGGATTAGGGTGAGATCGTCTATTGAATGGTCGTCGAGGTTGAAATGATTAGAAACAGGCTTGTCTTTCTTTAATTTGATGTCTGACCTATGAGCATTAAAGCGAGTTCGTAAATTATTATTAGTTTCTCCTACATATTGTTTGGGGCATTTCTTGCATGAAATTAAATATATTATATTCGAATGTTCACATGTTAGATGTTCCTGGATCGGGTACCTTTTATTCGTAGTTTCTAATTTTGGGGCCTTTTCATTTGACAGCAAATCTTCATGTTTTCTGATTATGAACTGCATGATGTTATTGGGTATTGTAATACCAATAGATTTCGGGGAAGGGAGGGTTTGATTCTCCCAAGTGTACAGGCCTAGGGTGGAGCAGACACTTTATTTAGAAATTAGGATTAAGGGTCTTGATATTGGGTTTTCTTCTGTTCTTATTCTGATCTGAAATTAGAAAAAAATAACTCGCCCGATGGGCGAGAAGTATAGTATCTGTTATGTACTGATTGTTTTTAGTTTACTATGAACAATATTATCATTTAAGTTCTTATTTTTTGAATATGCAACTATCATTTTCTGCTTATAGACATGGGGGAATTTCTCTTGAAGGCTCTTATAGTGGGCATGAACTATCTTGCTTGCTCGATTGCTGGTTGTATTAAACGGGACAACAAAGGGTGCTATGCCTACATTATGATGAATATTTAGTCCTATAGGTCTTGCTGTATTCAATGTCTCAATCCAATGGGCCTCCCTAGATTGACGGAATTTGGTAGTTTCATCTTCGGGCAAGTCAATTTCTATACGCTCAATTGGGATTAGGGTGAGATCGTCTATTGAATGGTCGTCGAGGTTGAAATGATTAGAAACAGGCTTGTCTTTCTTTAATTTGATGTCTGACCTATGAGCATTAAAGCGAGTTCGTAAATTATTCTTAGTTTCTCCTACATATTGTTTGGGGCATTTCTTGCATGAAATTAAATATATTATATTCGAATGTTCACATGTTAGATGAAAGTCTATGCTTTTGTCACTCACGTTTGCGGTTAGTTTGATAGAAGGATGGTGGTTGTTGAGAATTTCAAAGAATTCCCAAAACTGTTCGATAGAATAAGTCCAAACCATAAAAATGTCATCCAAAAAGCGTCCGTAAAAAAGTGGGTCAAATGGACAGAGGGGCAACACCTCACGTTCCCACTCTGCCATGAAAAGGTTTGCGTACGAAGGGGCGAATCGTTTGCCCATTGCTGTCCCTGAAGTTTGTAAATATGTTTTACCATTAAATGTGAAATCGTTTCGACTAAGACAAATCTCTTTTTTCTAATCCTGTGAGAAATCTTCTAATCTTTACCTGTTTACTTTCATAGTATCTTGATGTAGGGTTTATTTTATAGAGATAGATTCCAACATCATTTCACATCTTAAGACCTTTTGATGTAGACATTATTTGTAAATGGGTAAGGATTATCCAGGAAAGGTCATTTTCAGAGCTAAAAAAAAGGTGCAACAGTGATACAGAAACCTTGCTGCTTTTCTTTTGTTGTTGGTATTGAGATTCTGATGGTTCAGAATTTACATAAATTTCAGACATTGTTGGATAGGTTACTTTTTCTGATATATATTCAAAGACCAAAACAACTTCCTTAAAGTTATAAACATTTTATTTCTAATTATAGTTATTTCTAACCCTAACCCAAGATAGGATAGTATATTTTTTTTATCAATCTATAAGAACCTAAAGAATAGTGAGATGGATGTAGACGTTTACCCAGAAAGAAGAGTCAGGTAAGAGGTAAAATACATTATACATATTACAAACCCAATTTATTATACATAAACATTGGGTTTGTGATATATATTATGTACTGGGTTTGTGACATATTACAAACCCAAATTATAAAGTCAAGTAACCTAATTTGTGCATATCTCCCTTAAAGATTAACATGGGTTATCTCTACAATGTCAACCTGCAGAATTTTTGTATCGTTTCAAAGCAATGTTAAACTTATTATCTATTTATAACATATACCAAATGGTGATTTCAGTAATTACAAAATGTCACAATTTATTGGCAAAATTTCCTCATATTCCCAAGCTGTAATTAGAATTCCA